GTAGCTTCTGAGCCCAGTGATTAAAGGAAATTTAAGTATCGAAAATCCGACTAATAATGTGCTCACGATTTCAAAAAATCGGTACCTGCTCTATAGGTTTGACACCAACAGCTAACAGATCTGCAACTACCGACAGTAGGGAAGAATAAATTCGGATATCACTCCGGGAACTGGAACTTTAAAATTATCGATATGTCAAGGAAATATGTTTTTGAGAACGATCATTTGGTAGATTTTATACTTGCATTTTCATTTGAATTTCATAACCCCTGAAATATACCCATTTCGCCGTTACCTTTTGTGTTCTGCAGTTTGTGATGTATTTCTGGATATAAGCAGGCCTAGGGTGCTATCAGAGCTTTTTACAAAATTTTGTCTTTGCGCAAGAATTATGGTGGGTTGAAATGCTCACTATTTGTGCTCAACTTCTTGATATTTCAAAAAGATCCTAGTGGATAAAATCGAAAAAGTGGATCGCTGGCACCCTGTGGACTTTGTTTTTAGCACGCTGCAAGAGTTTCATTTGGAAATAATAAAAAATAAGCTGTGAATTGCAAATCGGTTTTTGGGCGAAATTCATCTACTGTTTCGTCGTGCTAGTCCAAGCGACGCGACGGTGCGTTCCGACTAAGAAAAAATGTAGATATTCAAATAATTTTATATCTTTCCTAAAATAAATTCAAGAACTCAAATTCTAATTCGTTTATTCATGTCAATAAACACAATTATGTTTACAAGGGTCGTGTGGTAGAGTTCCAACAGCCTAAGGTTATGCCCGCTACGTCATCACTTTATACCCTCTCCCTTGCGTCGATTGTACCCTATAAGAATATAGGAAATTGTTGTGACAGTCACTGGTAAGATTTATGGACATCTGTTACCGCCCTCTTAATGTGGTCCAGTTCTAATCGTGGCGAATATTTATATCGTAGAAAGCTTAAAAATGTATGTGGTCTTCAATGTCCAGAAATGATGTTGCTGTTGACGCTGTTAAGGGACATCCCACTCTCAGTAAGCCATAGGCGGAACGTTTTTTAGTATGTAGATACGCAAGTTTCAGTCAGTTGAGATTGTTGACACAATTGCGATCTGATGTGACGTTTGTTCGATTTATTTATTTTTTTATTTATTAACCATATCATATTTTATATTTGATTGTGTTGAAAATTATTAATCTTATGGGGTTTGTGGATATTTGATGGAGATCCATAAATCAAAATATAAAATAGTGAGCAGGTACCTACATATAATAGACACAATATTGAAGGGTAAAACCCCAAAGTTGGCAAACAACTGAAAGTAATTAAATTAATCCTAAGACTGTGATCCGCTTATATCTATACCAATCATGAGATTTCCTAGAGTGCATCATTAGTACTTAGATAAATAGGCTAATACCAATATCAAACGTAGGTAAACAAAATTAGTAGAAACAAATCTAATAATAACAAGTGTAAAATTGAACTACCTGGAATAATTCCCGGTTGCTAAATCCCTTCGTTCGTAAGTAGCGTTAAGACGATGAATGTTAATTAATCACATTTATTTTACCTGCAACAGATATATAAACCTGTCCGTTAGTCATAAGTTCAGTTTGTAAACTAATTTGAACAAGGCACCGTATGTAAAAATTGTCAAATAGATTGCAATATAGTGGAAATTTTTACTATTGTTCAAATTTAAATTATTAATAGTTTTAAACCAGTGATCTAAACAATGTCTGTGAAAGAGATTGGCGTGAAAGGAAAGGCGATTGGGAGTCAAGGAAATTAAATTATCAACAATGTCAATAACTTCATGGTACAGGAAAGTGTAGAGGGATTAAAGTTTCCACTTCAACAATACCGGTATGTATGAATGTAAAAGATTTTTATAATTATTGTCAAATAAAACTGATTTACCCATTTAGGAAACGTGTGTTAGCTGCCACGGGTATAAGTAAATGTACTTATCAAAAAATAGCTAAAGAGAGCAGAGATGGAGTATATTCAAGCAACTTTTCATTTTCATCCCCGTCTAAAAAGCGGCAACGAAAATCACCTGTTGTGGATAAAGTGACTGCAGGCCAAATTGAAGAAATGAAAGCAATCATATACGATTTTTATATTTTGGAGAAAAGAAGACCTTCGCTGAAATGTAAGTTTTTAAATTGTAACCGTAGCATCTAGTCATATTTCATTTTAAGATTTTTTAGGTATTTACCAAAAAATGCAAGATCAACAACTAAATTTTGAGGGTAAAATAACGACTTTGAACAAACTTTTGAAACAAATGGGCTTTAGGTCAGTCATACACACTATAAGGTTTTCGATTTTCAACGCTATAAATATAATTTATATCTACAGATGGAAAAGAACTACTGATAATAAAAAAGCTCTCATGGAAAAATATTAAATTCGCTTGAAGCGTATCGAATATCTGAAGCAAATTATGAAATATAGAGCTGAGAATAGGAACATAATTTATACGGATGAAACATATATACATTCTAGTCATACCCCAAAAAAAGGATGGTCAGATGACAATTATGACAAGGAACTAAAAACGCCTTTATCAAAAGGACAACGAATGATTATTGTGCATGCTGGTGGAGAATTCGGCTTTATTCCTAACGCCTTGCTGATATTTAAATCAGGTATTACTTGTGTTACAATGATTTAAAATATTTCCAATATATTTTTACATTTACTGGAATATATGTGTGTATTTTATTTTCAGGCTCAAAATCTGGGGACTACCACAACGATATGAATCATTTGAACTTCATGAAATGGGTAGAAAGCCAATTGATCCCAAATTTGCCTGAAAATTCTGTGCTTGTAGTTGACAACGCTTCTTATCACAATGTCCTGGAAGAAAAAAATGTAACCTCTTCTAGCCTGAAATCCGAGATGATTGGCTGGCTAGAAAAACATCAAATTCCTAGTGAAAACTCATTGACTAAGGCCGAACTATATAAAAAAATACAGGAAAATAAAAGAAGATTTCCAGTCAAATACAAGCTAGATGCCTTAATGGAACAGCACGACTGCCTCCATATCATCCGGAGCTAAACCCAATCGAGAAGATTTGGGCTCTCGTAAAAAACTGGGTTGCTCCACGAAATGTGACATTTAGGTTGTCTGATGTGGAGCATCTGACCCGTAGCAGGTTTGAAGAAATTGGAGCAGATGAGTGGAAGAAAATTTGAAACCACGTGAAAAAATATGAGCAAGCACAAATGGAAAAAGAACATCTTTTCGACGATCAAATGGATAAGTATCAATTCATTGTGAACACAGGGTCATCATCAGAAGATAGTGACGAAAGCGACTCAGATGAAGATTTGGAGCTAAACACACTATCATCTGATAGCGATTAGATTTTTTAATGATAATATATAATTTGAATTATAACCGTCTTTAGTTTGCTCCCTCTTCTAATTCAAATATGCTTTTATTTTATACTTCAAATAAAATAGAACGCCACTGCGCTCTGTCGACGACCGCGTGATGAGCGGACCCGCCCACGATGACCTAGCGGTCATATTCTAAGAGCGTTCGAACCCTAGCAGCGCCCTGTCCAGAATTACTTGTAGAGCTTACGCGTGCCCAGGCACGTGACCCTACTTGTCGCAGGTTCAATGATTGAGTTGACTCCTTTCACTTTCCTTGGAATAATGCAATAAATGACAGGTACCCGACCTTTGATAGACTTATATAACGGTATCGTCTGGTACATCTTCTTTAAGGCGGCTCCGACGCAGTGAGTTTCAAGCCATTTATAAGGGTTCAGCTGCCTCAAAACTGACACTCCATTTTTGAATGAAATTCATACAGTATGTTGAGAAGATAATTGCCCAGCGTGCAATAGGAGCACTATTTGAAATTTTGTCTTAGCACAAGTTTTATGATGGGTTGAAGTGCGCACTTTTTCTGTTCAACTTCGCGATTTTTTCAAAAAGAACCTAGTGAAAAAAATGAAAAAGTGTCTCTATAGCACCCTGTGGGGCTTTGTTTTCAGCACTCTGAAAATTTCATCCAAAAATTCCAGGGGTGCTCTCTGGACCCATCAGGAAGTAAATGTCCTGAAAAAAACGGTTCTTTTCAGAGCCACTAATTTATCTGCAATGAAAAAAGATTATCTGTTAGCCCTAATGATATTGTCATTATAGATTTGAAAATTCATAATCTCTTGAAAAACGCTTTTTTTCAGAGCCACTGATTTATATTCAATGGAAGAATATCCGTTAGCCCTAGTGATATTGACATTAGAGATTTGGAAATTCATAATCTCTTGAAAAAACGGTTACAACAATATTGTTTTCAGCTGTGATTGACTGCGAAGCTAAACATATGAACTAGCCGACCAATCAGCGCGCACTTGACGGCAGGGGGCAGAGTCTACGCCTGTCGTAAGGACTTATCCCTTCTCCAGGTAAGAACCGGTCAATATAAAAAGAGGCCGCCGTCATTTCATGAGCGCATACAGTTCCGAGCTAGCAGCCGTCACGAGCATACACTCGTGCGACTGCGACCCACCCGGACATACAGTGCGATCCTACTGTGATTTTCATCGCGGTACGATCGCCATCCACGATGGCGAAAGTAGAGAAGCTGGCGAGCCAGCTGAAGCAGAAAGAAGAGAATTTTGCAATGCTTGCTGAGCAGACGAAAAATCTGCAAGAAGCATTTGAGCGGGCGAGGGATGAAGTCGATGAGGTGAAAAGGAAGCTCCTCAAAGCAAAGAGGAAAGCTAAGAAGACGGAGGAAGAAGAAGAAGAAGAGGACCACGGAGAGGAGGACCAGCAGCCTACGGAGAACTTGGACATGGATGCCCAAAGTATCGACGTAGAAGAAGCGGAGAAGAGGACGGACGACACCGATTTCAGTGTCGCCACCAGACGGAGGAAGCGGGTGCGAGTTTCCTCCTCCGAAGAAGAAGAAGAACCCAGGCAGCGAAAGATGCCAGCTGCCACAAAGAAGAGTGGTCCTAGAGCAACCAGGACCACCGAGGCCCCCATGGCAGGAACAGGAGTTCCGCCAATCAACATCGAGGGCACCGCTGATTGGTCATCCTTGAGTAGGATGATGAACAGCAAGGGGATTCAATTCTCCAAAGCGAGGACGGCGGGTACCAGTGTGAAGGTATTCACAAATACACCAGCTGACTACCGTCAGCTAGTCGCACTGCTTGAATCCATCAAGCGGCCCTTCTTCACATATCAACTGAAGGAGGACAGGATGGACCAGAGGGTCATTCGTGGGCTTCCGAGAGAGATGTCAGTCAATGACATCAAAGAGGATCTGGTGAGCCAAGGCATCGCAGACGCCGTGGTTCAGCAGCTGACCTCAAGGACCACAAAGAAGCCACTTCCGCTCTTCCTCGTCAAGACGAAGATGCCGGAAAAGCTTGCAGAGATCCAGAGGCTGGCCATGCTCACGGTCAGCTTCGAGAGGAAGAAAAAGTCTTCCGAGCCCAGCCAGTGCTACCGCTGCCAGCGGTACGGGCACACACAGCGGAACTGCCGTCTCGCTGAACGGTGCGTTAAATGTGGAGAGGACCACAACAGCACCAGCTGCAGTCTGCCAGCGCCGCCAACAGGGCAACGAAACGCCAAGTGTTGCCTCTGTGGAGAAGGCCACCCCGCCAACTACAAGGGATGTAGTAAGGCGCCGAAGAAAGCTGCTTCTGCCCCCAAAGCAGTCCCCACCACAAATAGGACTTCTTACGCCCAAAAAGTGAAGAAGCCTATGTCCACTTCTGCCCCAGCAGCCGCCACTGCTACTGGAACTACTGCGCAGAAGCAACACGGCGATGACAGACTGCTAGCAATGATGCAAGCCATCATAACCCGCCTGGATGCACTCGAGGCCAAGATGCAAGACAAGCACTAGACCCGAAATGTCTACAGGTCAAAACGTAGAATCTCTACGCATTATCTCCTGGAACATCAACGGTTTCAGGGCACGGAAACCAGAAATCCAGGAGATACTAGACCAGTACCAACCAGAGGTGATGGCCATCCAAGAAACGAAGTTGGATGCTGCCCATAGTCTGACGTTCCCGCGGTACGAGACGTACCGCTACGACAGAAGGGGCAGAGGTGGAGGAGTCGCATTACTCGTCAAACGTACCTTGACGAGTCATGTCCTCGACGATGCCGCAGACATAAATGGGGACGGAATCACGGTCCAGGTCCATCACAACCACCGTCCCTACAGAATCACCTCCCTATATGTGCCACCAGGGGAGGCCCTAGACGAAGATGACATCGCGGACCTCCTGAGAGGCCCAGGAGCACGCATAGTCATCGGAGATCTAAACTGCAAGTCTCCGGCTTGGAACAACAACGTCGAAGACAGGAATGCAAGGCAGCTCCAGGAACACGTCGATGCCCTGGCGGGGGTCATCGTCGGTCCGGAGCAACCAACCTACATTCCATTCGGCCTTGGGCGACCTGCGGTACTGGACATAGCCATCCTCCGCAACATCAGAGAGGAGTTCGAGATAGAGACCCTGGTGGAAGGATCGTCGGACCACAATCCGATTCTACTAACACTTGGTACAGGGTCTAGAACTCGAGATAGCTTGAGCACCAAACGGACGAACTGGAACCTTTACAAATCCAACGTCCAGAGGAACATCACTCAAATTCCAACCATCCGATCAGCGGAGGAACTGGACAACGCAGTAGAGGAGCTGGAGAATGCTGTCCTGCGAGCGCACGAGGACAGCACCCGCTCCGAGACTACGGCAGTTCCTAGATACCTAAATGGTCCAGCACCACACCATATTAGGCACCTGATCAGGGAGAACAGAAGACTCAAGCGAGAACATCTCCAGCTGTTGACAGAGGAGTCGAGAGTTGCGCGAAACAGAGCATCGTTAGCTCTGAAGAACGCACTCGCGGAACTCCAAAACAACAGATGGAATGCAGCCTGTGCAGAACTAGAGACCCAGGATGGTACGGCCTGGTCTATGCAGCGAAAATTTCGTCGTCAGCGCACCACGATCCCCACTCTTCACGGCCAACGCGGCTTGGCCTACTCCAGTGAAGAAAAAGCCGAAGCATTCGCCGATTCGCTAGAATCCGAATGCAGACTCAATTACCATGAAGACGAGGACGACAACCACGAGGAGGCCGTGGAAGTCGCAGCCGAAAACATGAGGAGTCGACCACCTGGCCAGGAGACGGATCACCCCTCCAGTCCAGAGGAAATCCGTCTGATCATCCGCAGGTTGAAGGTCAGAAAGGCGCCGGGAAGGGACGGCATCAACAATAGGATGCTGAAGAACCTTCCCACCAAAGGCATTGCTGCGCTCACCAACATCGCCAATGCCACTCTGAGACTTAACCACTTCCCGCGGCGGTGGCGGGAAGCCCAGGTTATAATGCTCACCAAGCCAGGCAAGGACCGGAAGTTGCCCCAGAACTACCGGCCCATCAGCCTGGTTTCCTCGGTGGGCAAAGTAGTCGAAAAGGCTATCGCCGTTCGACTAGAGAAGCAGGCAGAAGAACTGCAACTTCTCCCCCCAGAGCAATTCGGCTTCAGATCCTCCCACAACACGGAACTCCAAGCGCTACGACTGACGGAAAACATCACCAGCGGCTTCAATCTCCAGGAGGCAACCGGTCTCGTCCTGCTGGACGTGGAACGAGCCTTCGACCGAGTTTGGCACGATGGACTCATCGCCAAAATGGAAGCCGCCGGAATCGATGCGAACATGTGCCAACTGATCCAGAGCTATCTAACACAAAGATGGTTCACGGTGAAGATTGGTACATGCCATTCAACAAGACGTCAGCTGGAAGCAGGCGTGCCCCAGGGGTCAGCCTTAGCCCCCCTGCTCTACAACATCTATACTTACGATGTGCCGAAGACAGCTGACACAATGCTGGCCCTATATGCAGACGACACTGCTATAGCCGCCAAGCATAGACGACCCGAGATCATCCGTAGGAGACTACAGGGTGAACTGGACCAAATTCAGGACTGGTGCGTGAAATGGAAAATCCGCATCAACGTCCAGAAGACGCAGGCAATCTTCATTCAACGAAGAAGGATTGCAAGACCTCTAGAAGCATCCATCTTCGATGAAGATATCCAGTGGAGCGACAATGTCAAATATCTGGGGATCGTTTTTGACAAGTCCCTCACCTGGAAAGCGCACATAGAAGCTGTCATCGCAAAAACCAGAGCAGCCATGGCTCAACTCTATCCATTACTGGGTAGACACAGCCAGATGCCGCTAGCGACCAAGCTACGGCTGATCAAGGCCATCGCCAGACCTCAGCTCGCTTACGCCTCCGCGGTCGGGGGGTACGCTGCCCCCAGCTACCGCAAGCGACTTGCTGCTCTAGAGATGAAGCTACTCCGGATCGCCACCAATGCACCTTCCTACGTAAGGAACTCAACCTTGCGTAGAGACCTGCATTGGGATACCATCCACGAGTACATGAGGAAAAAAGCGGAGAAGACCTTCGAGAAAGCTCAGGACCACCCGAACGAGCAGCTACGATTCCTCATGGACTACGATCCGGACGAGAGGCCTCGCAACCGCAGAACCAGGTACCCCAGACCAAGGTCCCAGTTGGCACCCGCTAACTGGAACCTTGACTAGGAGACTAGGAGAATTTGCGGCTGCTCCCCCCCCCCCACGGCGTGGATGCAGAGGACCAGGAACCACCGGGACCAGGACCCACCGGGACCAGGACCAACCAGGACCCGCCACGACCAGGACCCACCAGGACCAGGACCCTTCAGGACCAGGACCAGGAACAACATATTGGTAAGATGACTTGAAACTCTTGATTTTTCGAAAACAAGAGTTTCAAGAGAAACTAGCAGACCCTCTATCGATGATCGCTTAACGACATCGATAGAATGTGCGAGGTAAAGGGAACCAACCCGGCGTTCCCAGAGACTGAAACACATGAGGAGACGTTGTAGCAGACCGCAGGTCACGCACAACACATGGCCTACCGAGACGCTGATGAGTCGGGCCACGCGGAGGTTTAGGGTTTAGTGGGTATTAGGTGATCTCTTCAAGACCCTGGAGCCCCACACACGTCGTAGCTCGTGCTATGGTATGGTGCGTAAATGCATTCCCCCCTCGTTAAAAAAAAAAAAAAAAAAAAAAAATCATGAGCGTTCCGAGCTAGCAGCCGTCACGAGCATACACTTGTGCGACTGCGACCCACCCGGACATATTGAGCAATCTTATTGCAATTTTCATTGCGATAGATTGTTTGTTTGCCATCTACGATGGCAAAAATTGAGAAGCTGGCTAACCAGCTGAAAGAAAAGAAGGATGCTTTCGCCATGCTGGAAGAGCAGATGCGAAACCTGCAAGAAGCATTCTTGCAGGCCAGGCAGGAGATTGAAGACCTGAGCGGGAAGCTCCGCAGGGCCAAGAAGAAGGCCGCAAAGAAGACAGGAGAAGAGGAGGAAGAGGACCACCAGGCGACATCGGACGAGATGGACGCCCAAGAAGAGGGCACTCAACAGACCGAAGGACCGAAGGAAGAAGAAGCCGAGAAGAGGACGGACGACACCGACTTCAGTGTCGCCACCAGACGGAGGAAGCGGGTGCGAGTTTCCTCCGAAGAAGAAGAAGAAGAACCCAGGCAGCGAAAGATGCCAGCTGCCACAAAGAAGAGTGGTCCTAGAGCAACCAGGACCACCGAGGCCCCCATGGCAGGAACAGGAGTTCCGCCAATCAACATCGAGGGCACCGCTGATTGGTCATCCTTGAGTAGGATGATGAACAGCAAGGGGATTCAATTCTCCAAAGCGAGGACGGCGGGTACCAGTGTGAAGGTATTCACAAATACACCAGCTGACTACCGTCAGCTAGTCGCACTGCTTGAATCCATCAAGCGGCCCTTCTTCACATATCAACTGAAGGAGGACAGGATGGACCAGAGGGTCATTCGTGGGCTTCCGAGAGAGATGTCAGTCAATGACATCAAAGAGGATCTGGTGAGCCAAGGCATCGCAGACGCCGTGGTTCAGCAGCTGACCTCAAGGACCACAAAGAAGCCACTTCCGCTCTTCCTCGTCAAGACGAAGATGCCGGAAAAGCTTGCAGAGATCCAGAGGCTGGCCATGCTCACGGTCAGCTTCGAGAGGAAGAAAAAGTCTTCCGAGCCCAGCCAGTGCTACCGCTGCCAGCGGTACGGGCACACACAGCGGAACTGCCGTCTCGCTGAACGGTGCGTTAAGTGTGGAGAGGACCACAACAGCACCAGCTGCAGTCTGCCAGTGCCGCCAACAGGGCAACGAAACGCCAAGTGTTGCCTCTGTGGAGAAGGCCACCCCGCCAACTACAAGGGATGTAGTAAGGCGCCGAAGAAAGCTGCTTCTGCCCCCAAAGCAGTCCCCACCACAAATAGGACTTCTTACGCCCAAAAAGTGAAGAAGCCTATGTCCACTTCTGCCCCAGCAGCCGCCACTGCTACTGGAACTACTGCGCAGAAGCAACACGGCGATGACAGACTGCTAGCAATGATGCAAGCCATCATAACCCGCCTGGATGCACTCGAGGCCAAGATGCAAGACAAGCACTAGACCCGAAATGTCTACAGGTCAAAACGTAGAATCTCTACGCATTATCTCCTGGAACATCAACGGTTTCAGGGCACGGAAACCAGAAATCCAGGAGATACTAGACCAGTACCAACCAGAGGTGATGGCCATCCAAGAAACGAAGTTGGATGCTGCCCATAGTCTGACGTTCCCGCGGTACGAGACGTACCGCTACGACAGAAGGGGCAGAGGTGGAGGAGTCGCATTACTCGTCAAACGTACCTTGACGAGTCATGTCCTCGACGATGCCGCAGACATAAATGGGGACGGAATCACGGTCCAGGTCCATCACAACCACCGTCCCTACAGAATCACCTCCCTATATGTGCCACCAGGGGAGGCCCTAGACGAAGATGACATCGCTGACCTCCTGAGAGGCCCAGGAGCACGCATAGTCATCGGAGATCTAAACTGCAAGTCTCCGGCTTGGAACAACAACGTCGAAGACAGGAATGCAAGGCAGCTCCAGGAACACGTCGATGCCCTGGCGGGGGTCATCGTCGGTCCGGAGCAACCAACCTACATTCCATTCGGCCTTGGGCGACCTGCGGTACTGGACATAGCCATCCTCCGCAACATCAGAGAGGAGTTCGAGATAGAGACCCTGGTGGAAGGATCGTCGGACCACAATCCGATTCTACTAACACTTGGTACAGGGTCTAGAACTCGAGATAGCTTGAGCACCAAACGGACGAACTGGAACCTTTACAAATCCAACGTCCAGAGGAACATCACTCAAATTCCAACCATCCGATCAGCGGAGGAACTGGACAACGCAGTAGAGGAGCTGGAGAATGCTGTCCTGCGAGCGCACGAGGACAGCACCCGCTCCGAGACTACGGCAGTTCCTAGATACCTAAATGGTCCAGCACCGCACCATATTAGGCACCTGATCAGGGAGAACAGAAGGCTCAAGCGAGAACATCTCCAGCTGTTGACAGAGGAGTCGAGAGTTGCGCGAAACAGAGCATCGTTAGCTCTGAAGAACGCACTCGCGGAACTCCAAAACAACAGATGGAATGCAGCCTGTGCAGAACTAGAGACCCAGGATGGTACGGCCTGGTCTATGCAGCGAAAATTTCGTCGTCAGCGCACCACGATCCCCACTCTTCACGGCCAACGCGGCTTGGCCTACTCCAGTGAAGAAAAAGCCGAAGCATTCGCCGATTCGCTAGAATCCGAATGCAGACTCAATTACCATGAAGACGAGGACGACAACCACGAGGAGGCCGTGGAAGTCGCAGCCGAAAACATGAGGAGTCGACCACCTGGCCAGGAGACGGATCACCCCTCCAGTCCAGAGGAAATCCGTCTGATCATCCGCAGGTTGAAGGTCAGAAAGGCGCCGGGAAGGGACGGCATCAACAATAGGATGCTGAAGAACCTTCCCACCAAAGGCATTGCTGCGCTCACCAACATCGCCAATGCCACTCTGAGACTTAACCACTTCCCGCGGCGGTGGCGGGAAGCCCAGGTTATAATGCTCACCAAGCCAGGCAAGGACCGGAAGTTGCCCCAGAACTACCGGCCCATCAGCCTGGTTTCCTCGGTGGGCAAAGTAGTCGAAAAGGCTATCGCCGTTCGACTAGAGAAGCAGGCAGAAGAACTGCAACTTCTCCCCCCAGAGCAATTCGGCTTCAGATCCTCCCACAACACGGAACTCCAAGCGCTACGACTGACGGAAAACATCACCAGCGGCTTCAATCTCCAGGAGGCAACCGGTCTCGTCCTGCTGGACGTGGAACGAGCCTTCGACCGAGTTTGGCACGATGGACTCATCGCCAAAATGGAAGCCGCCGGAATCGATGCGAACATGTGCCAACTGATCCAGAGCTATCTAACACAAAGATGGTTCACGGTGAAGATTGGTACATGCCATTCAACAAGACGTCAGCTGGAAGCAGGCGTGCCCCAGGGGTCAGCCTTAGCCCCCCTGCTCTACAACATCTATACTTACGATGTGCCGAAGACAGCTGACACAATGCTGGCCCTATATGCAGACGACACTGCTATAGCCGCCAAGCATAGACGACCCGAGATCATCCGTAGGAGACTACAGGGTGAACTGGACCAAATTCAGGACTGGTGCGTGAAATGGAAAATCCACATCAACGTCCAGAAGACGCAGGCAATCTTCATTCAACGAAGAAGGATTGCAAGACCTCTCGAAGCATCCATCTTCGATGAAGATATCCAGTGGAGCGACAATGTCAAATATCTGGGGATCGTTTTTGACAAGTCCCTCACCTGGAAAGCGCACATAGAAGCTGTCATCGCAAAAACCAGAGCAGCCATGGCTCAACTCTATCCATTACTGGGTAGACACAGCCAGATGCCGCTAGCGACCAAGCTACGGCTGATCAAGGCCATCGCCAGACCTCAGCTCGCTTACGCCTCCGCGGTCTGGGGGTACGCTGCCCCCAGCTACCGCAAGCGACTTGCTGCTCTAGAGATGAAGCTACTCCGGATCGCCACCAATGCACCTTCCTACGTAAGGAACTCAACCTTGCGTAGAGACCTGCATTGGGATACCATCCACGAGTACATGAGGAAAAAAGCGGAGAAGACCCTCGAGAAAGCTCAGGACCACCCGAACGAGCAGCTACGATTCCTCATGGACTACGATCCGGACGAGAGGCCTCGCAACCGCAGAACCAGGTACCCCAGACCAAGGTCCCAGTTGGCACCCGCTAACTGGAACCTTGACTAGGAGACTAGGAGAATTTGCGGCTGCTCCCCCCCCCCCCCCCACGGCGTGGATGCAGAGGACCAGGAACCACCGGGACCAGGACCCACCGGGACCAGGACCAACCAGGACCCGCCACGACCAGGACCCACCAGGACCAGGACACTTCAGGACCAGGACCAGGAACAACATATTGGTAAGATGACTTGAAACTCTTGATTTTTCGAAAACAAGAGTTTCAAGAGAAACTAGCAGACCCTCTATCGATGATCGCTTAACGACATCGATAGAATGTGCGAGGTAAAGGGAACCAACCCGGCGTTCCCAGAGACTGAAACACATGAGGAGACGTTGTAGCAGACCGCAGGTCACGCACAACACATGGCCTACCGAGACGCTGATGAGTCGGGCCACGCGGAGGTTTAGGGTTTAGTGGGTATTAGGTGATCTCTTCAAGACCCTGGAGCCCCACACACGTCGTAGCTCGTGCTATGGTATGGTGCGTAAATGCATTCCCCCCTCGTTAAAAAAAAAAAAAAAAAAAAAAAAAAAAAAAAAAAAAAAAAAATCATGAGCAGTCAGACTTTAGTTCGAAGATGGATCTGATGGTGAATGAAGCGATGCTTGAAGACGGTCTGCCTAGGTGCTCGACGCCTATTCGGAGGTCGATGTACCAACCAAGACCTAACTGTAGCAGTGATAACGAGGGTTGTTCTAGGTTCCGCTGCAGGTTGGACTTGGGAGGCGTGGCTTCGGGGGTCACCATGCGCAATTCCAGGGGTGCTCTCTGGACTCATCAGGAAGAAAATGTCCTGAAAAAAAACGGTTCTTTTCAGAGCCACTAACTTATCTGCAATGAAAAAAGATTATCTGTTAGCCCTAATGATATTGTCATTATAGATTTGAAAATTCATAATTTCTTGAAAAATGCTTTTTTTCAGAGCCACTGATTTATATTCAATGGAGGAATATCCGTTAGCCCTAGTGATATTGACATTAGAGATTTGGAAAATCATAATCTCTTGAAAAAACGGTTACAACAATATTGTTTTCAGTTGTGATTGACTGCGAAGCTAAAAATATGAACTAGCCGACCAATCAGCGCGCGCTTGACGGCAGGGGGCAGAGTCTACGCCTGTCGTAAGGACTTATCCCCTCTCCAGGTAAGAACCGGTCAATATAAATAGAGGCCGCCGTCATTTCATGAGCAGTCAGACTTTAGTTCAAAGATGGATCTGATGGTGAATGAAGCGATGCTTGAAGGCGGTCTGCCTAGGTGCTCGACGCCTATTCGGAGGTCGATGTACCAACCAAGACCTAACTGTAGCAGCGCTAGTGATAACGAGGGTTATTCTAGGTTCCGCTGCAGGTTGGACTTGGGAGACGTGGCTCCAAGGCTTCGTGGGTCACCATGCGCAATTCCAGGGGTGCTCTCTGGACTCATCAGGAAGTAAATGTCCTGAAAAAAGAACCGGTTCTTTTAAAGAGCTACTAATTCATCTGCAATGAAAAAAGATTATCTGTTAGCCCTAATGATATTGTCATTATAGATTTGAAAATTCATAATCTCTTGAAAAACGCTTTTTTCAGAGCCACTGATTTATATTCAACGGAAGAATATCCGTTAGCCCTAGTGATATTGACATTAGAGATTTGGAATTTCATAATCTGTTAAAAAAACGGTTACAACTATATTGTTTTCAGTTGTGATTGACTGCGAAGCTAAAAATATGAACTAGCCGACCAATCAGCGCGCGCTTGACGGCAGGGGGCAGAGTCTACGCCTGTCGTAAGGACTTATCTCCTCTCCAGGTAAGAACCGGTCAATATAAATAGAGGCCGCCGTCATTTCATGAGCAGTCAGACTTTAGTTCGAAGATGGATCTGATGGTGAATGAAGCGATGCTTGAAGACGGTCTGCCTAGGTGCTCGACGCCTATTCGGAGGTCGATGTACCAACCAAGACCTAACTGTAGCAGCGCTAGTGATAACGAGGGTTATTCTAGGTTCCGCTGCAGGTTGGACTTGGGAGGCGTGGCTCCAAGGCTTCGTGGGTCACCATGCGCAATTCCAGGGGTGCTCTCTGGACTCATCAAGAAGTAAATGTCCTGAAAAAAAAACCGGTTCTTTTCAGAGCCACTAATTTATCTGCAATGAAAAAGGATTATCTGTTAGCATTAATGATATTGTCATTATAGATTTGAAAATTTTTACACAATTTCCACTCGTCGGAAATTGTGTAAAAGGGGGACATAGCGAAAAGGACGCAACAAAAAACCCGGGGAAGTGCAGTGAGCCCGAAAGGGCACCAGTGCACAAGAATTACACAATTTCCAGCGCGCGCGGCACAACTGGAAATTGTGTAAAAGTCGAACTTTACGAAAAGTCGACAGCGAAAAAGAAAATGTCGGATGAGGAGAGCGAAACAGAGCAAAACACGCTCAAAACAGTGGAGAAGATGCTGGACGGCGAAGAGGACGTCTACTCATCGTCCAGCGAAGACGAAGAGGGTGACCGACAAGGGGGATTTCTCAGGAAACTGAGAAAAGAAAATGAGGACCTTAAAAAGCAGATAGCCGAGCTATCTTGCCAGCTGACGGACCTAACCCGCCAGCTGATAGAAGAAAGAAAGGCAAGCGCCGAAAGAAAGAGAAGAGGAGGCACAGCACCTCCTCAGACGAAGGCAAAAAGGAAGATGCCCCCAAAAAGAAGGCACCCAAACATGACCAAGCGTCCACATCGGCAACTAAGACCCCAGCCGAAGTGGAAGAGATGGACCAGTCCTCCAATCCCAAACCTCCGTCGGCGGAGGGAAGCAAGAAGAAGGAGAAGAGGCCCCCACCACTCTACATCCACAAGGAAGAGCAGTGGAAGGAGGTGGTCAACAAAAAGATGATCTCCATAGAGAAACCTGCACGACTGACAGGTGCAGGCATAAAAGTCCAGCCGAAGGACAGTGACGACTATAGGAAGATCCGAAAAACACTGGAAGATGCCAAGATAGAGCATCATACCTACTCCCTACCGGAAGATAAGCCACTGGGAGTGGTAATAAGGGGAATGCCGAAAATAACCACCTGCCAAGAGATCGCAGAAGACTTGGCCAGGCAAGGCTTCCACCCAAAGAGGGTGAACAGGATGACCAGCAGGAGGACTGGCAAAACCATACCGCTGGTAAAAGTAGATCTCCCGAAGGAAGAGACGGGGATCTACAAAATAAACGCCGTTTGCCACATGGTGATCCAAGTGGAGGCACTCAAGAAGAAGACAGGACCAGGTCAGTGCTACCGATGCCAACAATTTGGTCACAGCCAGATGAACTGCACGGGAGAGCCGCGCTGCGTCAGATGCGCAGGAAAACACAGAGCGGCGGACTGCAAGGTCCCAAATGAAACACCCGCGAAGTGTACCAACTGCGGGGGGGAGCATCCCGCAAACTTTGGAGGATGTCCAAAGAGGCCGAGTGCAGGGCCAAGGGACAAAAAGACGGCACCAAGGGGCACAGCGCGAGCAGCGCCAGCACCCAAAACCATAACTAGGCCTAGTCCAGTCCAGGAGGGCCGTAGTTATGCGTCGGCGACAGCTGGGGCACCTAAAGTGACCCCAGTCGCTCAGGCCAGCAGTGCCAAGGACAGCGACGTCGAGGAGTTGACTGATTTCGCCACCAAGTACGCATCTCAAGTGATGTCACTGGTGATGAAGAACCCGGCGGCCAAGAAGGCGTATTTCGCTCATCTGGAGCAAAAATACGCCTAAATAGAGGGAAGCACTGACCAAAACTCCAAATGGGCACTCCAATAACCATTGCAAATAGGGGCCTGAAGATATTGAGTTGGAACGTCCGCAGCGTCTCCAACAAGAAATATGAGATAGGCGAAGTCCTAACAAAAGGAAACTGTGATGTAATGGCATTACAAGAAACGTGGCTCTCTGGGGAAATCCCACACTGGACGATACAGGGATACACGACATACAGAAAGGACCGGAACAGAACCGGAGGTGGGGTGCTACTTGCTGTCAAGACCAGCATTACCCACTGGGAACTGGGACTGCCAGAACTAAGATCTGCAGAGGCCGTAGGAGTGACGGTACGCACAACAGACCACGGCCCTCTGAACATCGTTTCGATGTACGTACCACCTACATCGACGATATATCTGGAAGATGTCACCTGTATCACTGCACTGGGAAACAGTACCGTGATCGTAGGTGATCTAAATGCGAAGTCCACCATTTGGGGCTCAAGAAACAGAAACAGTCACGGCGCGGTTCTCGAAAGACTAATGGATGAACCTGGATATACCATGATTGGTCCGGACGAACCTACAATATACCCCAGCAACGGAGGTAGACCAGACGTCATAGATATGGCGATCCTGAAGGAAATCGACATGCGCACCACCATCGGCGCCATGCAAGAGGGAAGCTCAGACCACAACCCCATCTTTCTCTGTATGGGAGATGGGATAACACCTGTGGAACAAAGAACAGTGAAGAGAGTGAATTGGCAGCGGTTTAGAACCAGACTGCACTATTCACAAGGACCACTACTTCAGATTGAAAGCCCCGAAGGCATAGAGGAAGCGGTCACGGACCTAGAAAGGAAGATTAAGGCTGCGTTAGAAGCCGCAACCACCGTGGAAGACATAACGCAACCAAACAGGTTCAGGGACCTACCTGACGAGGTAAATCGCAAGATCACCGAAAGAAACAGAGCCCGAAGAGTAGCCCAGGAGACCAGAAGCCCCACGGACATCATGGTGGCAAACAGACTAACGAGACAGGCACGAGACGCCTTGAAGCAGCACCATCAGAGCACCTGGGATAAGAAACTAGACGAACTATCTCCAGCTGACCCAGGAATGTGGAACTTGGCTAAAATCCTCAGAAATAGAAGACAGCCCATCCCCTCAATACACAGCGAACAGGGGATGGTGTACACAACCGAAGAGAAGGCAGAAGCTTTTGCTGACAACCTTCAGAGACAGTGTACTCTCAATACTCACCCCGATGAAGACGAAGACTTCATCGACGAGGTGATGAGAAGATCGAGGAGAACTGTCAGAGGAGGAAGAGCCATCGAAGACATGACCTTTCCAGGCGAGGTAAGGGAAATCATCGGAAGACTCAAGGTGAAGAAAGCACCGGGTGTAGACGAAATTGGGAACAGAGTCCTGAAGAGACTCCCGAGGAAAGCGATAATGGCAATTACCAACATTGTCAACGCCATACTGAGACACCGGTACTTTCCAGATCACTGGAAAGTAGCCGAAGTGATCAACATCCCAAAACCTGGGAAAGACCCAAGGTTCCCCCAAAACGACAGACCCATAAGCCTGTTGACGGCACTGAGCAAGATTGCGGAAAGGGTAATCGAACGAAGACTGAAGAACGAAACCGAAGAACTCCGAGTAGTTCCAGACGAACAGTTCGGATTCCGATGCGAGCATTCAGCAGAGCACCAGGTCCTAAGGCTAGTCGAGATGGCAACGAAATCGTTCCAGACTCGGCGGGCCGTGGGAGCTGTGTTGATGGATGCCGCAAAGGCGTTCGACACTGTTTGGCATGACGGACTGATCTACAAGATGGTAGACCTCGGATACTCAAAGGGGATGATCCAACTGGTGAAGTCCTATTTGAAGCACCGAAAATTCCGAATTAGGATTGGTAAAGAAACTTCGACGACGAGGACTGTGGAGGCAGGAGTACCGCAGGGAGCGGTTCTATCACCCCTGCTGTATGCAATCTACAGTTCAGACATCCCGAAGACTCCACAAACGCAACTGTACGTGTATGCGGACGATACAGCATATGCGGCAGAAAGTACGAGACCCCGCATGGTTACGGAATATCTGCAACGAGCGACTACCAATCTAGAGGAATGGTGCATCAAGTGGAAGATCCGTCTCAACCCCGAGAAGACCGAAGCGGTACTGTTCCGAAGAAATCGAAGATTACCTCAGACCAAAATAAAGATGACGACCACCAGAATGGAGAGAGGCTGGAGAAGAGACGAAGAAGTTGAG